CAATTCGACTGAAAAAAAACAAAAAACTAAATGATCCCTTTTTTTTTCTAAAGTGACTTCCAACTGCAATATGAAACTACATTCGTTTATCCCATGTAGTTCTAAGTTTGTGACAGTAAACATCTATTTGTAATTAAACATTATTATTTTATTGCCCTTAGAAGCACATCTAACTACTATCTGTACCATTATAAATTGTAATTTACTCGGGGAACATGCAGCTCATGTTACGCTATCGAATTACATTATCCACAAGCTGCTCGCATGCATGCCTCATGATCCATTTTAATTATATAATTATTATTACTTATTTTACCTAATCTAGTCTTAAATAACTTAAAAGGATCCATATTTTTAGATTTGAGTTACTTTTATAATAATAAATAAAGAATATATAGGAAAAACAAAAAATAAAGTACTCACACAATTTCTTTTTTCCTGCTGTTGGGTATCGAAGAGAGTTAACCCTAAGGTTTTATACTATAGATAGTAATACACTTAATAATTTTTATTTAATTAAATAATACACCAAAGAATATAGAATAATAACATGCAAAAAGTAGAAAAATTCACTTACTTCTCAAAATTTTCCTGGCTTTCTAACTATACAACAAGAGCTAGTTACAAATTCATCCAAGCTAGTTGTTAGCTTTCTCACAGGAACAAATCTTGTTCTATGAGTGAATTAACGATATTCTGTACAGAACACAGTGTTATATAATACGTCATTTGAAAGATGAAAACCTTGACTTTCTGATAGTTATAGCTAATATATAATGAAACGTGAGAGAGAACTATCAATGAATTGTGAAAGAGAGGATGTGACAGGTGGGTGTGGCAGGAGCAGTCTGATTTTCTATTCGATAGCTCTGTAACCAAACAAAATTGAAGACTATAAAAATTATGGTTTGCTTGAGCAATAAAGATTTTATAGAGAGTATTTTACGTTTAATTTTGTACATTTTCGAGGGGTGATGAATAAAATAGGGATGATGACATGCTAAAACAAAATGTGTCACGTGGGTCACACTAGTGGAAATTCAGGATTTTTTAAAATATTTCCTTGTAAAATTAAGAACTTAAAA